AACGAATGATAACGCAATAAAAGCGTAGATATGCTCGTGCTGAAACAATGGTGCAAAAAGCGTAGCGCCTACAAACACCTACCCCTCCTTCGTCGAAAAGAGGCCCAATTTCGAAACACGTACACGTCCAGGAGAGTATAACAATCCTGGGGACGGATCTCGGGGAGACTGAAACCAAAAATGACTATGCTGGTGTAGGTCAGCAGTAATTTAACCGACCGATAGAAACAAAGAAATACTGTGCTGGCAAGGACCAAAGGCAATTTAACCTGCCGACCAAATTAAGTTAGCTGCGTGTTACCTGTGGCCTTGAGTTAGCTGTGAGACGGAGCCAGCCATTGTTGGAAACCATAATCGAGCAACAATTAGTGGGGACACAGGAAACTTTGTGTGTTGCAGTACAGTGAATTGTAGAGTGTGCAGATCGGTGAAACTATTATAGTTACCTGAAGTTACGAGATATAAGGGACAGTAAATCCGCTTACCCATCCAAAAAACCCCTTTTCTAACAACTAACACGTGACAAAAGCCAGTCACGGTAGCCGAGCGGTCTAAGGCATGTACTGTCTTCGCTCGCTCGAAAGCCGGGATCGTGGGTTCGAATCCCACTCAGGACATGGATGTTTGTGTGCGTTTTTCTGTGTTTGTGTACAGGTAGAGGCCTTGCGACGAACTGATCACCCGCCCAAGGAGTCCTACCGTATGTCTAAGATCTAGAAAACCCGAAGTGAACGGAGATGTTCATGGAGGTAGGCCTGGGCCCACTGGGGCTGTAGTGCCAAGGGGGAAAAAAAACACGTGACAAAATGTTACATATAATTCTAGCTCATTTAATCGCCAGACTTGGTCAGTTACTCAATACGGTCCTATATTATTATTATTATTATTATTATTATTATTATTATTTAATCGCCAGACTTGGTCAGTTACTCAATACGGTCCTATATTATTATTATTATTATTATTATTATTANNNNTATTATTATTATTATTATTATTAGTGGGGTGAGACTGAGTGTACTTGATACTGCGGCTACTACTAGCCTATTGTACCAGCCCCAGGTGACAGACGATGGTGAGCGTGGAGCAGTCGGTGCAATGAAGATTGTCAGGGGAAACTGAAGTACTCGGAGAAAACCTGCTCCAGCGTCACTTTGTCCACCACAAATCCCACATGACCTGACCGGGGCTCGATCCCGAGCCGCCGCGGTGGGAAGCCGGCGACTAACCGCCTGATACGATCCTTGATCCCTTTTATACCTTTATCTTGTGCCCTCATCTCTCCGTTAGAGGCGAATGAAGCGACAACTGTGCCTGTAAAAGGAAACATTTTCGAACACGCAGCTTCCCATGTGTGCAAAGACGTAAGAATGCTACGCCCTTGTTACTTACGCATCGCCAGGTTTTTCCCAGGACCGTAAACCTGAAGGCTTAGAGGGTATCGGCTATCGAAAGGGGGGAAGGGGGGGTTTACACTCTTGGGCCGGAGACCCCCCCCCCTTTCAAACAGTCAAAATTAAGTCACTGTTGCCATATATAAAAAATTTAATTAGTGAAGTTTGCAAAATATGTTTCCTGCCATTTCAAAATACTGCACACTTTTACAGGCGATTCTTAATGAAGTACAGTCGCACATTTCATTGCAGTACATTTTACAGAAGGCACTTCAAAGGAAATATAAAGAGACAGGCAAAAGGATAATGATGGAATAATTGGGGCTCTTTCTTTCAGATATAAAAAGAATCTTCATTTATTATGGATTTACTTTTTCCGAGCAACTAGAGCATAACTGTTTTCTTCTGACGAGTTCGGGGTCGTTAAAAGCCGGGAATTTTTTACCGACTGAGTGATACTCAACTTTTCAAAAAAAGACCGTGCACCATGAAAGTTGGCCCGCTTGTTACCAACGTTACAGTTCACGTACCAGAGGCACACTGAAGAAGCCTTCAGTTTCAGTGTTCTGAACCTTACAAGCTGCCATACTGTAGTCTCACTTTCTTTACGTAACGCCGAGTCCCAACTTCACCTGATATATATTCACGTGACACGCTTGTGCACTAAACGTCCATTGTTCCAAAGCCTAATGTTGAATTTTTTGTGAAAGAATTCCTAACTGAAATCCAAATCACGGCATTATTCACTGCTATAACAAACAGCGAAGGAGTATTTGGTTGGTCTGGTTTCAATAGACTTTTGGGTAAGACTGTTAACATCAGTACATCTGCTGCTGTGAATAAGCACCACACCATGGAGGTGGGNAGAACCTGATGATGACGACATTGGTTGCAACATGTAGTGATGAACTTTTAAACTTTTAAAGTTAATAAATTTTATAGGGCATAGTGTTGCGAGACTGTAACTAATCGACACCGTTTCTCCTGTCCTACCTTCGATGGCCGGCCAGTGCGAATTCATTATTATTGTCATCTTCATCCTATTCACCATCCAGTGTCAACATTGGTCATGTTTCTGTTACGTGGCAGTGCTCCCAAGTTTTGAATAATTCCCAATGATTCCTCACGTACTATACTACCGGCCGGCTCTCTCGCTAGTAAATATTTAAAGGATGTGATACTGGTTGAATCATTACACCACAAACTTTAGACACCGCCAATTTTCTGAGGTAAACTTAAAAAATGCTTATCTAGTGTCTCCAAACAATGCACAGCGTCACTGGTCTATGTTTCTGCAGCAAGAAATACGCCTGTTCTCCTGTTCTAGTCTCTTTGATGCCGAAGTCCTGTCCCAGCAACCTTGTTCTTTGAAGATATATGTCTCTTCTTCCATACCTGAACCTTATTTAATCATAATGCTGCCCGACTGACGTACCAATGTACTTTCTCTACTCAGCTGTTTCAACTGAACCGAGAGCAATTTCTTTCCAGATGTCCCTCCTTTTATGTTCTATGAATCTACATGCAGCAGGAGTTCGTAAGATGTCATTTCAATGGCTTGTGATCTCTCTTTGTCAATGCCAAAGACCAAGAAGCTTCGCAGTCACTTCGCAGTCACTTTATGACATTTAATTGACTGTATTTTCTTGTTCTTCCCTTTAGGATGCTTCGAATTCTGATATGTCTACTACACATGGTTCTCTTTATCCGCTCATAATTAGAGCTAATTGACAGTACACTTACATACCAAATAATTAAATGTTGTCAACCTGTTGAGTAATATCTTTAGGATTTAATGTGTTCAAAGTGAGAGTGGACTAAATGTCAGTTTACAGTTTACTGCAGAATTCGAGCCGGTGCGCGCACAAAAAAACAGCATTTAAATTAAATAACCAGCTCTGGTCATAACCGTTAACAGACCGACAGACTGAGACGGTTTACCATTCGAAAATTCCATGGCGCGCGTTATAAAAGTTAGAACCTAGCCATCCTTTAACAAAGGCAAAAACTTCTCGAAATCCACTCCTCTGGTCCTGCGCATGTAAAGAATCTGGTGAAACTCACTTAGGGAAAAAATTACGAAAATCTTAATCCATTAAGGTTCATGGGATAAATTCTAAGATATAAATAACTCTTCTTGCAGCAAAACTACTGCTACGGGCTTCGAACCCGATGTCAAACTGACTTACTCATAATAAATGGAATAAAATATTAGCACACGAGGGACCCGTAGATGTCTGAACGGAACTAAGCAGAACAACACTACAAAAATGTACATATGGGCGCGTCTGTGATTACGGTGGTTTCATCCTCCTGTACTGGGAACAGTGACTGATCGGAGAACTTCAAATAAATATTATTGTTCATAAAGTATCGTGTAGACTAACCGAAGTTCGCGAAATTCAGACAAATGGTCTGAAAAGTTTAAAATGCGGGCAAACAGAATAGCACGGGAAAGGATGTATTTTTAATGTAGTATACAAACTTCCTAACGGCGTTCTTTGTAGTTTATTGAGCTTATCTGCGACTGATTCATAAAACTTGACTATTTTTTTGGTTCATTAAACCACAATTTGTGGTCTTACGTAAAACTGTATCCATTATGGATTCATATGGTTCCTCAACAACATAGTGAAATTCTGCCGCACAGAACTTTAAAAATCCGCCAACGATTTCGGTCCTCATAGCACCTTACAGGCAGCCAAACAGAATTACTTTCCAATAAAAAAATATTAAAATCGCTTCAACCGCTCTCGAGATGCGAGGCGAGACACAGCAAAACGGAAATATTCTCACTGATATATTGGGTTTCTGGACTTTATCCATCGTCCCAGTTTTTAAGATAACAAATAAAAACACGACGTTTCGGAAACTGGATCTGTTTCCGTCCTCAGGTNGAAATATTCTGTTTAAAACAACAGACATCCGTACAATTTCCGGAAAAAAGTACACTGGGCATTCTGCATGTTTCATTTTAAATAAAACTTCTGCTTGAAGCATTCTTCTTTCCGATAAATATTTAAGAGTAAACCATGAATTACGATGGAGATGCGCGCATGAACGCCCATGGGTCCTCAAGTAGCGTACGCCTACTGTTAACTGTATGTACTATGCACTCTTAAAATTGAACTTACGTCAAAAATTTCTAATGTAATCTTTAATCATCTTTACGATTACAATGCGTTTCGTAAGTATGAGAAGGTGGTGACACAACAGTAACAACTCTTTATTGACGACTTTCTACTAGAAAGAAAATAATAAGCTATAATAAGCTCCTCAGATGCTAAAAAGTATAAAACACAATCAGTATCATCTTCAGTTCTCACTACAAGTGACAGCAGTAAAATCGAACCCTGAGAGTTCACACTGAATACTTTCGGCTTTAAAATTACTGTATCCTTTGAACTAAGGAAAAGGCAAGAGCCTGACTAAAACACAAAATGAAGTAATTTAGTTCACAAAAAAACACGTGCACAATGGCGTTCGAGCTACAAACGAAATATTGCAGGCAATGTCACATAAGCACATGATGTCCAATTTATGCAGTATACTGTACTTCATACTCGAAATCATTTTAAAAAAATTAATAAACTGTTGATATTCTACCTTGTTCAGCTGAAGCTAGAGAATACAGCAGCGCTACGGCGGCGTACAGCAAAAGCAGAAGCCTCAGCAACTGCCCGCCCATCGTCCACGTCACTTCCGCCGTCCGCAATCTGCCCCCTTTTATAGCATAGCGGACAAATGGGAAACGCCGATTCGAAGTTCAAATCCTCATGTACGTTTCTGTAACACAAAAACAATAATATGTTATTTAATACGTCATATTGGAACTCAACAACTACGTTTAGAAACGGTTGCGACTGATCACGGTGGCCGCACTGCCTAGCTAGACTGCTTGAAAACTGTGATCGTGTTATCGAACCGCACTTTGGACAGAGATGTTTGTCAGCGCTTTCTTCTGCGTTTGAGATGTTCACTAAAGGAACCAGCTCTGCGATGGCCGACTGCCACCCATGGGGTCCTACCAAATACGTAAAACATTCGTATTTTAATAAATGTCAAATGAAGAAATCAAACACCATCAGAGTACACGACAAGCTTGGGCCGTTACCATACGAAAATAATGCAATTAAATATTATAATGTACGTGTCAAGCTCTGGGAAGACAAATGACACACAACTTCACATTTAAGCGCTACCACCTTAACAAAGGGCTGTATAAATGTGCGAATCAGCGCCCCCATAATTCGGAAATACTTGTGCAGAATTTCCGCCGATATTCTAGCCGCCAGATACTGGATACAAAATATTTGTTTTTAAATAATGATCTTTCATGGTAATAACATGTTTCATTATGACCGTAGAGATTTGTCAGCTGTCATGCTCAAACCACAAAGCCATTGTGCGCAGACCTCATCCTGATTTCCATTTTACTTAAAGAGTACCTCAACAAAAGGCGCAGAATATTACAAAAAATTGTGGAAATTCCGAAAGTGAAAGCATCTAGTGCTGGCCTCACCTCAAGAGTTCGCTCACGGTTGCTGACGGTGCGGACGAACTTAGTAAGGTTATGAATCAGAAATCACTGGATTGATATCACAAACTGCCGTACTTCCAAAATGAACTCCACAAAGAGAGTTAAACGAGCTTACACTCAAGCTCCGGCCATACTGGAGGGGCAGAAGAAAGGTAAAGACAGAAGGGTAAAGTTGCCACTGTGCTCAATTAACTAAGCAATCAGGCAATGCGCCATGAAGACGTATGGAAGAGTGGTAGTATAACTCCACCATTCTTAACATCGGCAGTAGATGGAGTTTCACACCCCGGCCGCTTTACCTCCAGGGAAAGAGGTTTCGTGAGCTCCAGAGCTGGTCTGGACGTTATGGGGACGAGGAAAGTTCCCTGCCTATGGCAGGAATCGAACTCCGGCAGTCCATCCCGTAGCCCTTCGCCATACTGACTGAGGTATCCCGGCTTGGTGGGCGAAACATGCCACTTAAATAATGCGTTCATACGTGGCATACTACAGAGTCGGAGTGAAACAAAATGAGACAAAACTGTAACAAACCACGAGGCAGACGCTTGGATGGACAGACCTTGAAACCCAGTAGTCAGTGATTCCTCAGTTAATTTTCGTTCTTTGTTGTTCCTGATGGACAGAGTGTTTTTCCACAAAAAACCATCACGTGTCTGCTCTGTGCAGTGGTGCCACACGAGGTGCTCGGATGCAGAAAATGACATTTGCCTGTTAATTCTGCAAATAACATGACAAAGGCTCGGTATTTCTCAGCTCAAAATATTATTCAGTTCCATATAAGAGCAATTCTTTGTGTATAGCAGTGTTACTCCGTAACAGATACCATAATTGTTTCATGTATGAAATTTGCGTATCTCAAATTGTTTGAACAAACGCCTAACTTCTACTTCACATTTCAAATGTATACTGATTAGACTTTATTCTGTAGTACATCAGAACTTCAAGATTTTTCACAAAAAATGCGCATTCTACAATACAGAAATGATTCCCCGTATTTGGAACCCTTCCTCTATCAGTTTAGAAATCGAAGGGACCTGAATATCCTAATTAGAGAGCAGTTTGTGTATGATTCGCTCTAATTCTCTGGGGCAAATACCCAGAATAACCACACAACAAACCACAATTTTCCCTTCCTAATGCAACACTACCATTCTGTAGCCACTGGTCCCCATTTGGGCGAAGCGTGTCATATAAAACAATGCACCTAACCTCACTATAAAATAAGCGACTATGCTGATATTGACTGTGCCACAATATGCTGAATTCTTATGGGGCAGCAAAACGTATTAAGTACTGCGAAATGAATTCACATTCTCTGGTGCTGAGAACAAAACGTGCACATGACGTCCACAGTACTTCTACGAAATAGAATCGTCTAACAAATGCTGAACGTCTGCAGTACTACAAAAAAATCAAGAACCGTCTTCTGTCGTGTGAGGAAGAATGTTTATAGTTTTTATATTTAGCTATTTACAGATATTTATCCTGAACAGGCTTTTATGTGATATTTTTCTTTCCTTGGCATTACAGCCCCAGTGGGCCTAGGCCTACTTCCATTAACTTCTCCGTTCACTTCGGTTTTTCTATATCTTACACATGCGGTAGGACTCCTTGGGCGGGTGATCAGCTCGTCGCAAGGTCTCTACCTGTATACAAACACAGAAAAGCGCACACACACAAACTAAACATTCATGCCCTTTGTGGGATTCAAATCCACGATCCCGGTTTCCAAGCGAGCGAAGACAGTACAGGCCTTAGACCACTGGGCTACCGTGACCGGCTTTTATGTGATATAGAAGAATTTAATTCAAACAGGGAAACAAACCATCTCACTCTCTCTCTATCTATCTATGGCTCTACAACCCTTGTGGGTCCTTGGGCGCTTTTTCAATTTCTTAATCCATACACAGTCGGTAAAATTCCTTGGGCGGTGCACCGGCCCTACGCAAGGCCGCCACCTATACAGAGGACAACACAAACACTGAATAAACACACACGGTCATCCATGTCGCGAGGATTCGAAATCACGATCCCAGTGTTCGAGTGGGCGAAAATGGTTCATGCCTTAGTCACGCGGCCACTATGATCGGTGGGAAACAGTGCTTTCAATTTACTTCATACAAGCAGTGACTTCCATTTTCCATTTTGCTTACAGGCTGCGTTTTAGACCTGGCCTCTGCTTTACGAGCACTGCAAGAGGGCAATGAGGGAATGAAAGGGGGTGCCGCATCGCAAATGATACTCTGTTACAGTCCATCAACCCGCTGTCACTGATCTCACGAGACTCCACCAAATCTGCTGCAAATTCTGATTAGAACGGCAAGGTACAAAAACAGACAGTACTTTGCTTCGCTCAGCTCCGCACGCTGAATATGTGATACACTGCTCATACTCACTCCAGTAATACAGGAAACTGCGCTGCTAAATTAAGTCTAACCATGGCAGTTCAGCGAACTCGTGTCTGGACAACACCCCCCCCCCCAAATTCCTTATGCAGTGAGAGACGGGAGAGAATGAGTCATATTTAAAGACGCTGTTTCAAGTGCAGAGGGCATATGGTGTCACGGGATGCAGATTTGAATACGCATGCTTTGTAGGTTAAAGATCTGGGAAAAGGCGGTCATGGTCAACAGTCGAATGAAGGGTTGATGTGGTTGGTTATGTGGCGGGGCTTTCAAAATGGCGTCAAGCAGGAGTGACGACACCACCGACTATAGTACCATGAGCCGGTATACCGAGTGCCTTCTGGTCGCTACACCAATTTAATCGGTGTTGTGAAAGAAGGGCCGGAGAGAAGCTGATCTTCTTCTTGCAACCAGGTCGGAGAATGCGCAAAACTTGCACGGAACCACAATACACCTTCATATTACTAATGTCACCGTATTTGGTACAAATCAGGATACACAAAAAGGACAGTTTTATATGGTTGAAATAAAAATAGACTGAAAGCTATTCGTTATAAAGTACTGTCGAGTTTGCGATGACTCTACGCCATCCATGTCACTTCAGGATTTCCAAACTATTTTAACACCTCTAGAAAACTACCAACCGTTTCTCCCCTGTAAGAATTCTCGGACTTCATACTACATCGTACAAGAATTTGTCGTCTTCGTATATAAACTTCAAAGAGTTTTCCGCATTCATGTTCCATCACCGAAGAATTCCCCGCTCTTACAAGAGCATTTAAAATGTTTCTGCCCTCGTATCTGATCTAAGCATTTTCCACTATCCTGCATTAATTACCCTATCTCGGACAGATCCCATAACAAATTTTCGTCCTCATAAGAATTCTCCAACCTCATACGTGTTTCTCAAAGAATTGTTCGACCTCGTATTCACCCTGTAAGAGTTTTGTGATCTGACAGTATTCGAATTCTCCGGCTTCGTATTCCATCTTCCAAGAACTGCCGGGACTTTTATTCGCTCCACTTCAAGATTTCGCAGATATTGTCTTCGCTTTTATCCTACAGCTCGCATTGCCTTTCTAAGAGATCACAAATCTTTCCTTCAGCGACGACTCTACGGGCGGCCGCACACCAACTGCATCAAGACATGAGACAAAAGACGCAGTCTTGCTCCATTCCTGATTCGCCAGCATGAAGCTGACGTCAGCATTATGACTCAGACCGGTGTGCGGAGGTTTTCATAATCTCTTTCGTTTCAACTGCGTTCCTTTCTTTGCATCATATCTCAGACATCGTGTCTTGACTGTTACGTCTTGACGCATGTCGGTGTGCGGCCTACCTACGAATGTCGTGCCCTTCCGCCGCTCCTAAAACTGTTATTCTCAGCATGGAACTACTATACAGGCGACAACCAATATTGCGGGAAACAATTACAGCAAAGGGAAATTTAGTATTCAAAGAAATACAATTATTATTACTAGTTTCCAGGATGGATGCAGTCGTTACGTTGTCAGTACCCACTATCCTCTAATGTTACGAATACTTGGGTACCGTAACAAAAGTAAAGCCAGCTTAGAATGCGGATAAACGCCCCACCCAACAACGCCGCTTATTATGGAAGGATATACACACACAAATAATGACAAGACATGTGTTTTAGTTCCTGCAGTTACGTGTGTTTAAAAAATCTTGCTCTGGATGCTTGTCAGATAATTAAGAAAAAGTAAACAAGTTAAACTTATGCCAGATATTCCTTACACATTAGCTAAATGGAATGTAAAAAATTCTTTTATTCCTGCCGACAAAACATACAAGACTAATCAGCCATTATAAGCGAAATG